GGAATTCAGAAGAATGAGGGGAGATCTTATAGAAACATAGAAGATTATGAAGGGAATAGATAAGGTGGAAGCAGGGAGGTTGTTTCTGCTAGCAGGTGAAATTAGGACTAGAGGGCATCGCCTCAAAATAGAGGGAAGCAGATGTAGGACTGAGGTCAGGAGGAACTTCTTCACCCAAAGGGTTGTGAATCTGTGGAATTCCCTGCCCAGTGAAGCGGTTGAAGCTACCTCGCTGAATGTTTTTAAAGCAAGGCTAGATAAATTTTTGAACAGTAAAGGAAATAAGGGTTATGGTGAGTGGGCGGGTAAGTGGAACTGAGTCTCAAAAAGATCAGCCATGATCTTGTTAAATGGCGGGGCAGGTTCGAGGGGCCAGATGGCCTACTCCTGCTCCTAGTTCTTATGTTCTTATGTTCTATTGATTGCATCCTTTTGTTGAAAGGCAAAACAATGTGGCTTACTTTGCTCTCGGTAGCTGTCTTTTAGCACTAGGTTGTTGATATTTCCTTGATCTTTTTTCTTTCAAATTTGGAAGTAGTTAAATATTTCCTGATAAGGTTTAAATTTAAACTTTGCTTTTACTATGCAAAATGTGTAATTTGGAAAATAAAGGCAAACCAGTGTTACGTTCTCCTTAAAGATTAATTACAATTATAAAGAAATTTAAATTCCAGTTAATAGCGAAAAGGATGATAGGTCAAGATTTTACATGTTCACTATCACAAAAGCCTAAAGCCATATTGCCTGATCACTTTTGTAAGTAATATTTACACCATCCTTTTAAAGTAGACATTCAATTCTCCTGGCATCAATCCAAAATGATTCTTAACTTCTAGGCATTTACATCTGATCTTTTCCTATCCCAAACTGGAACCTTTAACAGCAGAACTGATTTTCACAATGAGTTTTCATGGTGACTTCTCCTTCTGGCTAAAATTGAGCAAATTGTCCAGCCTCATTTTAACTCCTTATAAATTTGGGTCTTTCCATTCTGAGCCTGGGCTTCTAGACACATATTCCAATGTCATAGACCATAACCTCTTGCCTCTCTCTGTTCTAGACCCTGGCAAACTAATTTTGTCTCATTTGTTTCAGGATTGTCTTAGGCTTTTAAGTGCAGATGGGTTTCTAGCTCTGTGGCACTGTGCATACAAGGCCTGAGCGATTCAATCAGAAATTCTGAGCTTTTCTTGAGACCCTGCCCTTGAAGGAACTAGACAGTTTAAAGCACCTAATTACAATTCGACATTCTGAACATTTTTTAAACAAAACTTTGAGGCCATTAGCTTACCGACTAATACCACACAACCTACTTTTCTAGTGTCCAAGTGTAACTTCTCAGTAAAATAAATTAAGCTCCCTTTAATGTCTAACAGGCTTGATGTCAGGCAGATTTCATAGGTCTTTCATTTAACTGTGGAGATTAAGTTTCGGAACTATCTTAAGCCTCCATTGTAACAATATTTTTTCTTTTTCAATATGGTTTCTATACTGAAATCACTTCGCTGAGAGCATGTATGGATATATAAAAGGAAAGTAGTTTAAGTTTGGGCCTCATGGAGGATGCAGCTGGTGAATAGATGATAGATCATTTAAATCAATATTTTCCATGAGTCTTCGTAGTGGTGAGTGTTTATAGCATTCCAACGATAACAGATAAGCAAGGTGCTAATGGGAGGAAAGAGCTTAACAGTCCCTATCACGAGGGACAAAATATTTGGCACACTGATGGGATTAAATGTAGACAAATTGCGAAGACCCGATGGCCTGCATCCAAAAGTTTTCAAAGGAGTGCTGTAGAGATAGTGGAGGCGTTGGTTGAAATATTCCAGAACTTGTTGGATTTTGAGAGGTTTAGAAAACTGCAAATGTGATTCACCTGTTCAAGAAAGGAGGGAGAAAGAAAGCAGGAAACTTTAGGCCAGTCTGTTATTGCGAAAATGCTTGAATCCATTATTAAGAAATAGGACTTTTTTAAAAAGCTTAAAGGAGACAAACAGAGTCAGCATAGTTTTGTGAAAGGAAGTCATGTTTGACAAACTTGCTAGATTTCTTCGAGGATATAGTAAGCAGAGTTGATAAACGTGAACTTGTAGTGTATTTGGAATTTCAGAAGGCATTTCTGTAAGGTGCTACAAAAGGTTATTGCACAAGGTAGGAGCTCATGACTTTGGGGATAACATTAGCGTGTATTGCGAATGTTTTTCGACAAAGTAGAGAGTCGGGATTAATGGTTCTTTTTTCAGGTTGAAAAGATGTCAGTAGTGGCATTCCACAAGGATAAGTCGTAGAGTTTCACTTATTTACTATCTGTTAATTACTCAGAATTGGTAGTGTGTAATATTTCCAAATTTGCTAGTGATAGAATAATAGGTGGGCAGGGCATGTGATGAGGAATAAAGAATCTGCAAGGAGAAAAATATAGATAGTGACTGGGCAAAAGCTTGGTAGATGAAGTTTAGGAACGCGAGAGGTCATGCAACTTAGTAGGAAGAATCAAAAGACAGTCCATTATTTAAATGGAGAGAGAGTCCGACAATGTGCAGCACAGAGGGATCTGGGTGTTTTGTAAATGCTACACAAAAAGTTGGATGCAAGTGCAGCAAATTAAGGCAAATGGAATTTTGGCCCCTTGTGCTTAAAAACTACGAAGTCTTATTGCAACTGTACAGGGTGTTGGTGAGGCTCCACCTTGAGTACAGTTTTGGTCTCCATATATAAAAAGGATATACTAGCATTGAGGCTATTCAAAAGAGATTCACTAGGCTGATTCCTGAGTGATTGACTTGTTTAGTATGGCTAAACAGGTTAGAAGACTGATGGGTGGTCTTACTGAAACATACAAGGCTCTGAGGGGAAATGCAAACCAAAGAACTATGGATGCTGGAGTTTGAAACAAAAACAGAAATAGCTGGACAAACTCAACAGGTCTGGCAGCATTTGTGAAGAGGAAGTGGAGTCACCATTTCAAGTTCAGTGACCCTTCTTCAGAACTTTGCATTTCTGATGGAATTTGACAGGGTAGATTTTGAAAAAGTATTTCCACTAGTGGGCAGTCTTGAAATAGGGGACATCATTATGAAATAAGGGGACACTCCCTGGAATAAGATGCAAGAAATTTCTTCTGAGTCGTAGTCATACAGCACAGAAACAGACTCTGGTTCAAGTAGTCTGTGCTGACCAAACATCCCAGCCTGACCTGAAAACAACAAATGCTGGAGATCACAGCGGGTCAGGCAGAGAGAACAAGCTAATGTTTCAAGTGTAGATAAGTCTTCATCTGAAGTGTGGAGGGAGTAGCATTTATGCTATAGTTTTGGAGGGAAGGTGGGTGGAGTGTCGAGTGCTGGGGGAGAAAGGGTGATTGGAATGTGAGAATGGCAGA